AATATAATATATATACTGTTTTCAATTAGGACACATTTGTCTTTATTTAAGATGTTAGTTTCACTTTAACATTAAAATCTCTAACAAAATTTAACACTTTTATTGCTGTTAWCAAACTTTGACAAATCACAGGACCTTTAAACAAAAAGATGTGTCTGAAAAGATACTTTGAACCTGACTGATTATCAATCTTCAACAAGAATAAAATAATATTTAGTAAATAAAAGAAAATGATTTTCTTTTAGGGAAAGACATTCATGAAAACAAATGTTGGTGTTATTAAATATAAGTTTTTTAATTAATACACTTTGATTGTTTTAATTCCAATTTTGGTTTTTTATTGTGTGGATTTTGTTCAAAGTTTAATTGCTGCTATTGCTGTAGGAAACAGATTTCAAACACATCTTTTTTGCTGAGTTGTGTGTTGTACAAAAATGTAAAAATGCATGAGCTGGACACGTGGAAAAAATATGTTGTGAAGACAATGTGTACTTTACAAGTTTTAAGCATTTAATATCTTTCAAACTATTAATCTCCGTAGCTAATATTCTTCAACTKTTTTAAAAGAAACCAAAAAACAGAGAACTTTGGGGTATTTTTGATATCTTACTCAACGACTGAATATGTACACTTGYTTTTGTTCTACATTATAAATCACAACGTCCACACATTTACCAAATTTCCCTCTGGGATCRATAAAGTATTTTTGAATTGAATTGAATTCTGAATTGAATTTATTGTAAATTGACTTGAATTTAAATGAGTTTCTAACACAGCTTCAACAAATTTTTGGTCTTAATTTCTAGCTCATTACTTGTATTATATGTTCTTTGGAAATAATGGTGAGAAATTCAAATAAAGTTGGGTCATTTGAAACAATAGATTTCCATTTTCCAATCCACATTAAGTTTTATCTTCTGATAAGACAGAATACAATTAAGTTTTAATGAACCCTATTTAGTGACAAATAGTATTTCTCAGAAGAATGAGTGTTGCAATGAGTAACATGAATGAATGGATAAATAAAATCAAGATCATGAATCATGAATTATTTCTAAAAGTTTGTCTTCCTTTATAAGTGGGTCAAAAAGGAAATGGAGGCTACAGTTTTCTTTAAAACGACCAATAGAAAGKTCATAAAAACATTAATTTCAGCCTCAGACAAATTGTTGCCAGTTCTGTAATGAATGTGCTTTTATATCATCATGTTGACTCATCACACCATTACCTCCCAAATATATATTCCTCACTTTTTAACAAGCATGTTAAGCTAAAATAGGATCCAGTTTAAAAAGTTTTACAGCCGTTTGAATATATAAATGGTTATTCTTTGTTGCTGTTTTTAATACAGTATGTTTTCATAAAACTTGAATAATAATGAGTTAAACTGAAGTGGAGGTGGCGACATCCGTTTTGAAGAGGCACTCTTTGTAGATGTATCTTGCAGCTTGATCACAACTGTGTGGTTGCTTTTTTTTCCATGTGCACTCCATGTGCAAACGCATGTTCTTACCGGCAAAACAACAAAAAAGCTTCTGAGTTTCCGACAGCCAAACCACAATATGCTTTTTTCCTAAAAGTAGAGAGAGAGAGAGAAAAAGAAGTCCAGATAAATGGCAACAAACTGCCAAAATACCTTTTAAGCTAAAGACAAAAATGTTTCCTAAAAATAACCTTTTTCTCAATGCAAACTGCAGAAAAGGCAGCTGGAAAACACTTTTCCACATTTTTTTTCTGTTTTGGTTAGGTCTGGTATAAAATAGATTTGTTTCCTCCCTGTAATCAAATAAGCAACAGATTTTATAGACTGTCAAATATATTATAAATAAACTGAGTTCAGTTCTGAGTCATGAATAATTCAGAGTAACAGTATGACTGTTGACTGAACAAGAGAACAGCATTTTTTATGGTTTAAAAGTTTTAAAAAATTGTCTCATGTCTTCATGGACAACAAAGAGGCACAATCTAATGTAAATATTGTCGATTAACATGTCAGTGATGTTTCAAGGTGACACTTAAAAACATGTATTTGCTTAGAGTAAAAGCATTTTTTTCTTGAAGGAGTGCAGAACGCCCGTTGCCTTTCATCATGAAGTCTTAATTCAAGATGGCTGCCACAGCCATATCATGTGAGATGTATTAATGCTCAGATGACTCTCAGCTACTACCACATAAACTTGGCATCATTATCTGTAATTGTGAGTTAACTCTAACTTGTATAGTTTGTTACAGCCATTTTGAAAATTAAAGAAGCCATATTGGCTGTGTCTCAGCTCATGGGATGCACCCCACCTCGGCCACTTACGTCACTGCCCCGCGCCATAGGCTGTCCCAATTTGTCGGCGCCTACCGTACACATGTGGCCGACAAAACCCCAAAAACCTCGGCTGCATCCGARTATCCTACGTGGCCGACAGTATCCCAGAATCTATTGCATCGTCAGCAAATTAAACAGAAAAATAAAGACGGCAAAGTTTTTTTTTTTAGTTTTACGTTTTTTTTTATGACGGAATTTGAAAATTTACCACGGACTGAAAAATGTAACTTAACTGAAGAAACTTGTTGCAGTGAGATATTAAATAGAATGCAGTTAAAAGTACTGATACGGAAGCTAAATCTAAATTATTAATGCTTTTTTGTTTCTTTACTTGTAACGTTTTTCTATTAAGACTGAATTCTGTGAACTTATACCTTGAAAAAACACCTGAGGTAATGTGATATAAAACCAATGAACACGGTGACGAGGCAGCACTTGGTCACACAATCGTACGTCTTCTGTAGACGAGACCGTCTCATTTCACAGCTGTTTATGCAGCTGACACAAGCAGCCTACGGCCCACGTCGACTGTGGCCAACGTTGGCAGCGGTCTATGTGACGCATGAACTGAGACTCGCCACTCAAGATTTTAGCTCAAAATCTGTAATGTTGACTAAAAACTGTGTAGGCTCTGTATTGGCTAATATCTCCAAATCTGTATCAGTTGGGGAAATCCAACCAATGTTTATCCAGCAATTCATGAGATATTTTGGTAATGGCACAGACAAACACACACACTACACCCCCACCCCCATCACGCACTCACACACAAACACTGGCAAAACCACTATTGCTCCACCTTCAGCAGCAAGCAGTAGATTGGAGAAGTTAATYTGAGACTCTGGCCAATTTGTTACCAACATGTGGAGGACTACCCAGTCTGTCACTTTCACCCCAGTGAGACTTTGTTTTTTAGTTAGTAATAACCCAGGAAGCCATCGTCCTGCTACCAAAACATGTCACTGGGTAATAATGAAGCTGACCACTTAAAGTTTCACAGTTGGATAAAAGTAAGTTTAAAAGGACCAAGCAGGTCAGGCCAGAAAGTGTGTTTAATGTGAGCTGTGGCTTTGTGTTTCACTAGGTAGCCCGGAGTTAGTGTCCCAAGCTAAGCACTATTTCTCTCACTACTTGGGGGATCACTAGCTGCAAAAATGATCCCACCTGAGTATGCCATTTCACAGAACATATTTTCTGCTGTCAATGTCCCTCATCTACTTTGTTTTTGTCAATGTCCTGCTCAAAASAGAAACCTAAACCATGACCAGTTTCCTGCAACTCTTATTGTCAGRAATTTGAAGCCTCAAAAAGGCACATCTGGCTCAATACGCCTTTCTGGGGTAACGGAGGCGTACTGGGATTTTTTGTCACTTCTGTCTGCGACTTTTACRAAGCATCCCAGAAACAACTTCCCATTCCTCATTTAAAAAATGGCAAGGCACTGAAGACTTCTGAGTCTTTGCAGGAAGTTTGAGCCTGTGGTCTATGAACAGACACATTGTTAGGATTTTTGTTTTGTTTTTAAGATTACCCAAAAACAACTCAATTGACAAAAACAGGACAAAGACAAAAATGGTAAAAGGTAAGTGAATTTATTATACAGTGAATTGGTCCAGGTTTCTTTGCTGAAAAGARGGGGAAAACGGTTTAGGATGATGTTCTTAGGTAAGTGTTTGAAGTTGTTGAATGTGTTAATTGTTGGTTTTCTTACAGGATCCATGTGAGGAGGCTGACCAGGACGAGGAGGTTTGTAGTGGTTCTTTGTTAGGAATCCAGCACAGGTATGTGTCTTTCGCAGATTTCCGTGAGAGAGCGAGAGAGAGAGGCAGGGCATAAGACAACGAATCACTTCAATCTTTGAGTGAAAAARCCAACAGACTGGACAAGGACCAAACGTGGAGTTACCAGGAGGAWCAGGACAGTCCAGCCTGAACACAAGGGAGGTGTAGAAAACAATACAACAAGGGTTAAATAGGTTTTCTCAAAGAATTAAACTGAGGCTGTCTTAAACAGTACCATGGGCAACTGAATAATCYAGCGTCGGATGGAYCTCAGAAGGCGACTGAAATACTTTCAGGCTTAATCAGAGCAGACTATGCACAGGTGAGTCCATCCAGTCTCCGCCCACCAAACTCTCAGTGAACTGCAAAACAATTAGTCAGGAACAGCAGCAGCAAACCTCCRCACACATTGCATTTGTGATATGGTCTGAGTCCAACAAATCAAAAGCACTGGAATATCTTGACCCAACACAGCTGTATAAGGCAATATTTAAAAGGTAAGTCTGTCCATTCATTTTAATGAACATATTGAGTTGCGTACACCTCTAATCAGAAGCCGTTCATGCACGGTCTGCCGCATCAACAGCAGGCAAGTGTTGCCCCCCAGCCTCTTCTTCCTCTGGCACTCCTCTTATGATCATCACTTCTTCTGACTTCTCAGGGCACTGCACCCATTCCTTCAAAAGGTTTATATGAAGAACCCTGCTGGAGAGTGGTTGTCCAGGGACAAACACCTGATAGTGGAACCAAATTTCCTATGAACCTCCAAGGGTCCATGCCACTTGGCCAGCAGTTTGTGGTTGTCAGTAGGAAGGAGCACCAGTACTTTTTGTCCAGGACTAAAAGACCTCAATCAAAATAACCAAATAAAAGATGAACTAAGATGATACAGAAATGCATTCATCCGTAAATTTGTTATGATACTGTAACGAGGTGAAATTGTGGTTGTTTTTTTGTCTTAAATTAAATGACAAGAAGTCAGAAATGGTTATTTTCGGACCTGTAACTCCTTGATTTCCATATATATACACTCACTGGCCACTTTATTAGGTACACCACGCTAGTAATGGGTTGGACCCCCTTTTTCCTTCAGAACTGCCTCAATTCTTCGTGGCATAGATTCAACACGGTGCTGGAAGCATTCCTCAGAGATTTTGGTCCAT